AATCTGTGTCCTTGTGTTACCTTCAGTTGTTATTCTTTTTTCCGTGGCTGATTCTTGGGCTATTTATGGACAAATTACAGGAGTTTCTGCGCACAATTACTAGCGAATGCACAAGCTGCAGCCGCCGCTGAGAACAAGTTATTCCCTTTTAGCATAATTCCTTCTCTTGCTTATGTTTCTTGGAGATTTAAGGGTTTCGAACAAGTTTCTAGGAATTGGGTTTCGTTGAAATGAGAAATATGGGATTTTCATGTTGAGTTTAAGGATTTGGGACAAGGATTCAGGGAAAAAGGATGCAATTTTTATTTAATGTCATTCTGTTATTTGCTCTATTTCTCAAATTGGATTCTGGGTTTTCTTTGAATTGCAGAAAAATGTTTGTGTTAATGTGGATAAAGCAGCAGCTCCTGTTCTTCTCGATGGAGCTGTGGCGGGAAAAAAGGCTGCTGTTCCCAAACCGGCTCAGAAAAAGGTGGTTATCAAGCCAAAGGCAACGGCAGTAATTGAAATTAGTCCTAATGCAGAAGATGAGGTTGAGGATAAGAAGCAAGAGAAGGAGAAACAAGAGAAGGTGAACAACAAAAAGGAAGGAGAAGGATCATCCAAGAAGAAAGCTCCCACTCTTACTTCAGTCCTTACTGCTCGAAGCAAGGTGAATTTTCCCACATGTTGTTTTGAATTCTTCCCTGGTTTGGGTTTACACCTTAAATTTTTGGGGGACATTCTGAATTCTGATTGATGTTATCTCAGGCTGCTTGTGGCATTACAAAGAAACCAAAGGAGGAGATTGTTGATATTGATGCAGCAGATGCTGGCAATGACTTAGCTGGGGTGGAATATGTTGAAGACATTTACAAATTCTACAAGTCCGTTGAGGTATGCATTCCATATCTTCTTTACCCTTTTCACATATCTGTGTGTCTTCCACACACATTGTATTGACATTTCTGGGATTGTGCAATGCAGAATGAAAGCAGGCCTACTGACTACATTCATCTGCAAACAGACATGAATGAGAAAATGAGAGCCATTCTTGTTGATTGGCTGGTTGATGTCCATCTCAAGTTTGAGCTTTCCCCTGAAACCCTCTATCTCACCATCAACATAGTCGACCGGTTCCTCTCTGTTAAGATTGTGCCTAGGAGGGAATTGCAACTGGTTGGTGTGGGTGCCATGCTTATGGCCTCAAAATATGAAGAAATCTGGGCCCCGGAGGTATATTTACATTCTTTATGTTACTGTTTCTTTGTATTTATATTGGCTGACCTTGTGTAAACTGGTTTTGTGTAGGTAAATGATTTGGTGTGTATAGCAGATAGAGCATACACTCATCAACAGATACTGGTCATGGAGAAAACAATACTGGGAAAACTGGAATGGACCTTGACAGTTCCCACACATTATGTGTTCCTTGTTCGTTTCCTCAAGGCATCCATTCCCGACGAGAAGAAGGTTTATAAATTATCTAATCAATCTTCCCTAATCATACTGAATTTAGATTGAAAAGCTTACTAATTAGTTGCTGTACTTTTCACTGGTTCTTTTTAGATAGAAAACATGGTTTTCTTCCTGGCTGAGTTGGGTCTGATGCAGTATGAGACCATAATGTTCTGCCCGTCAATGGTTGCTGCCTCAGCAGTCTACGCAGCGCGATGTACTCTGTCCCTGAAGCCTGCCTGGACTGACACCCTTAAGCATCATACTGGTTACTCAGAAGCACAACTGATGTAAGTAACAACTACCTTCTTTTATTAGTTTCTCCTTTGTCTTGCAGCGGAAGCACACATTGTTGTTTCTAATTACACATTGTTCTTTGTTTGTTAAATATGTTTCAGGGATTGTGCTAAGCTGCTGGCATACTTCCACTCGAAGGCTGCAGAAAACAGGCTTCAGGCCGTGCATAGGAAGTACTCAAGTCCTATACGAGGAGCTGTCGCTTTGCTGAAACCAGCTCAGTCTCTAATGTCTCCTGATGCTGTGAAGAGCACAGCTTAGTTTCTTTGGAATCATTATTTTGTAGTAAACAGTCACAAAGAAATCCTACCCTGTGATTTGATTTGCAATGGAGAAAGCGAAAGGAAAACACCTTTCTGTGTAGTGTCTCCTACTGGGGAATTATTAAATTCATTCTCGTTTAATAATAATTGGATGCTTTATGCACGTGATCTTCCCATGCTTCAACCGGCGCAATCTATCAACCTCTAAAATTCATTGACTTTTCGCAAGGCAATCCTAGTGATTTTTAATAAAATTTGACAATGTACTCAATTTGACAAAGATATAAAGGATACATACTTAAAATTTTGTCTCATTATATCTTAGATACTTGTGAATTGGTTTTTATTTAAGTTGGATTTAAGTTGTATTGTATGATAGAAGACAACCCACCCTCTCCCATCACCCGCAGATGTGCTCCATGCATATGATTCTATAAATGAGGGCATGAATTAATGGTATGTATATTAATTGCAATTTTTATATACAAAAAAAGTTAATTTTATTTTTAAACACCAATGTCAAGTCAAGTGCATAACTTGGCAAAAAAGTATAATAAGTACATCTGACGGCATATGGTAGAAAAACCGAACAATAAAATCAATTTAAAGTCAAAGGAGACTGTCTTAATTGAAAAAAAGTTGAAAAATTTAGGGACTTGGTTAATGCCAAGAAGCCTTAAAAGATATTTTGACAAAACTCATAAAGCACTTTACTTTAAAAGTAATATTCATCTATTATAAATTTAAAATTTTATTAAAAAAATTCAAAAATTATTTTTTAAACTGAATTTTAAATAAATTTCAACAAAAAGTTAAATATGTCAAAACTTATTTAAAATTCACGTAAAAAACTAATTTTATTATTTTCCGCCACATTTCCGATTTCCGTAAGGCCAACAGCAACAAATCCCAATCCATTACTAGAGTTAAGGGCCTTAAGGTCATCCACATCACCCGTTAAAGTCAAATCTCATGAAAATCCAGTAAAAACTAAAAATGGTCTATGAGAAACAACCTCTAATACCCATTATTGACACAAAATTTTGTCAATTTTTTTCTTTAATGCGTGCGGGTAAGGTGGCAAAAACCAACATTTAGCCCCTTACCTTACAAAATTGGTAGGTTTTAGCCCCTCAACTTATAATATAACACTTTTAACCCGTTACTTTATAAAATTGGTAAGTTTTAATCCCTCACCTTACAAAATTGATAGGTTAAACCCTCAACTTATAACATAACACTTTTAGCCCTTTACCTTATAAAGTTGGTAGGTTTTAGCCTCTCACCTTACAAAATTAGTAGGTTTTAGCCTCTCACCTTATATTATGACATTTTGAGCCCTTCACCTACACGAATTGAAGAAAATAACCCTCACCTAACATTAGGTTATAACGTTCAATTAGTTCTGTTAACTGACTGTTAATATCCGTTAGCATTTCATAATAGAAAACATTAAATTTAAATTCAATTTTATTTGTTAGTTCCACTAATGGAATACTAACGGATGTTAAAGTCAGTTAACAGAACTAACAGCCAATTAACAAAATTTACAGTCAGTTAGCAGAATTTACAATCAACTAATAGAATTAACAGAATATTATAATATGACGTTAAGTGAGGGTTATTTTCTTCAATTCATATAGATAAGGGACAAAAAGCGTCATAAGATAAGGGACAAAAAGCGTCATAATATAAGGTGAGGGGCTAAAACCTACCAATTTGGTAAAATGAGAGGTTAAAACCTACCAACTTTGTAAGGTAAAAGGCTAAAAGCGTTATATTATAAGGTTAGGGGTTAAAACCTATCAATTTTGTAAGGTGAGGGGCTAAAGTTGGTTTTAACCAGGTGAGGTTGTGAAAGCAATCTCGTAACTTTTGAAAAAGGCGAAATGCCCCTGTTATTTTTGAGTTCAAACAAATTAATACTTCCTAAAAAATTAAAGTAAATTATAAATTAAACCAAATTTATCTGTTAACAGT